GAATGAGATAGATACCTTCGAAGTAGAACGAGGGGACACAGAAATTGTAGAGAGTTCCACGTGGAGGGGGAACAGGGAGGTTGAGCAATCCACTCTTTTACCCAGAGAATGGAAAGGAACTCCGAAAGGGTATGTAGAAGAACCTTCGACAGTTCGGCGACGGTAGAGTGCGGCAAAACCTTCGACAGCGGTGAGCCTTCGACGACGGCGAACCTTCGACGGCGGCGAACCTTCGACGGCGGCGAACCTTCGACGGCGACGAACCTTCGACGATGACGAACCTTCGACGGCAGCGAACCTTCAACAGCGTTAACCTCGACGGCAGCCTTCAACAACGACAACCTTCATCAGCAGCATCGAGTGAGATGTAAGGCAGAAAGCAAAATGAAGCTGTGATTGGGAAAGGATGTATAAACCTAAACTGCACTGTAGTTAACTGTACTTAATATAAAATAGTTTAGTATTTTTAAACTGTACTATTAATTAGTTAATTAGTTTTTAGTTAACTGTATTATTAGTTTTTTAAGTTTAAAAAAGTATGGATTAACTATAGTTTAAGTATTTTAAGTTAATTCTGTCCAGCCCTACATATACATCACCCACTCAATGTTGAGTTTGTGGGCAAGTATGTATACCCTAAACAATTTTTTTTTTTAAATAAATCGAATATTTATTTGGATACTTCTGATAATGGTATTATTTTTATACATATATATAGGAGCCATAACCAAATTATATTTAGTTTTTTTTTTCTGCTTAAATAGTTTTTATACATATAAGCCTTGGATTTTCTCGTTATAGAAAAAGTGATAGTTATATAATCTAAGTTGTAAAGAAAATGTGAAATATTAAGATACTGTTTCTTCTTTAACAAGATAGAGTAGAGAAGGATGAATTTAAAACTGTTAAACTATGATTTTACAGTTTACTTTAGTTACTTAAAATATACTTGTGTCCACACTTCTTACCAACATTATTCCCATTTTGTTTGTATAAATCAGATTATATTTTTTGTTTGGATCGGAGGATAGAATGGGAAAATAAAATGAAAATATTAATATTAGTAAACATGTTATATGTTTATCAACTTTTTTTTTATTTCTTTTTATTTTGGATTCCAATTTTCCTTACTTAAAACAAACAAGACATTTATCTCGTAGCCTCATGATTAATATAGTTTCATATTTCTAACAATAATTGATGATGTGTACATTAATGATATTATTATTATCCACTCATTCACATATAATATTAATAATAATATTTGATAATAAAATTTGACTTGTTTTCACTAAAGACAAGTAAATTTTTGTGAATGTTTTGTTAAGCAATTAGGTGATATAATTAATGTGGGATTAAAATTAATCGATTGAAAAAAATTGGAAAACTATAGATGCTAGTAAAAAAATTTATGGGATCAAAATTGTAGATTTATAACATTATAGAGAGCAGAAGTAGATTTAAACTTAAAAAAATAGTATGAAAACTTATTTCATATATAATTAGATTTTAATTAATTTCAAATTGCCAGTTCATGAAAATGCTTCTCTATCCCCTTGCTCCATTTATAAGCTAACAGATACAAAATACAGTGTTTATTTAACCTACAAATACCAGTTGGTATAACTTTTTTATCATTATATTCATACATACAAGTCGAATATTTTTAAAAGTTAAGTGACTTATATAGTTATATATTTATTTGTATTCATTGTTTAAAATGCACGAATTCAAATATTTTCACATCCAAACAATTAAAAAAGACATAATGAGTGTCTAAAAGAAATTGTTTCGACATGTATCCAAACATGTAATATATGCATAACTGCATTATTTAAATTTATTTCTTCCACCTTGTGTAAAAATATAAACCTTTTAGTTACCTCATGTGTGTATTTTTTAAGAATAATATATAGATAATCCTATTTAAATATATAATGAAACGTTACTCTATATAAATTACCAATTGTAATATACTTGTTAAGAAATTATATTCATTGTTGCAATATTATTACTCTTGATGAACACTCATTAGTTTTTCACATAAAATACCAGTTGTAATACCATTATTCTCGATGGGCAATGAACTTTTGCATAAAGTGAGAATGAAAATTACCCCACAATTTATCATTCAATATATTTAATCACCATATAAACTTATTTGTGTGCTATAAGCACACTGTTATAATCATCTGAAAGAATATTTTCTCAGAAACTTGCAGAAAAGCACTCATCAAATTGAACGGTGGTAACTGAAGATCTTTCTATATTACGGAATAATTGTGGAGGATAAGGTAAGGGCAATTGGGCACGGATGTGTACCTTTTGTGATGGTAAATTCACAAATAAAGTGAAACAAAACAACTATTCTTATCGAAGTTGGAATCAGATATTTATGTCAATTCAAGTCACTTTGGTCGGACTATTCTAAGATTCCATTCAAATGTTTGCTGCTATGTTACAGAGTTACGAATTCGTGGCGAAGCTTGATTGTCATTCATTTGGGTATCATATGCATGGCCCTGTAAAGCTTAAATATGTGTCATCACCACGTGGATTCTTGTTGTTGCTTGATGGCGTGTTTGGAGCTGTGTTGAAGTGGATTGAACTTATAAAATACATTAATACATAGTATCAGAATGAACATGCTATCAACTCAGGATTTGATTATAGTGAATGAAATAAACGTAGTATTGAGTTTGAATCTGGAACATATACAACTATCTTTTATTTTATTTTGGCTCTGATATCGCTGTTTGGATCTATTGAAGAGGGAGTTCCCTGTGGGTTACACCCACACCAATAACATTTAAACCAACTATATAAGTGATTGACACCACTCTTTACCCAAAACGTTAAGATAATGAGTTAATGGATGTTTCATCTTTATATAGTGCTCTATCCAATGTGGGACTTAGACTCACACTGAGACACCCAACACCCAACACCTGTTACATACTAGATTACGTCTTGCTCACAGTAGGCCATCTGACTTAGAGTTCTAAAACCATTACAAAATTATAGTTTGTACTGATCTTACACTAATCAAATACAATTTGGAAACCTAAAAAAAGAAAAGTGCCAGAAGTTATATAAAGTATGTGTCAATCCCAATATATATATATATATATATTTTGCTTACCTAGCATAACAATGAAAGGTGGTTGCATGAGAGTGATTCTTGCTTGAACGAAGTTATAAACCACACAATAATCAGAAGACAATCACTATAGTATGCAAGCCATGGAACTCATGAAAAAGTTATATGGAAAGCTCTCAACCACACGAACCATCTTGCTTTCTGTAATAATTGTGAGTTTTGTTACTCTACCTGTAAAGTAAATTGCTTTATTATGCGTGCTCCAAAGAAAGGAAAAGGTTATAGCATTTAATATTTCCACTATGGCATTAATATACTCTCTCTGGATTCTTCCACGTACCCATCTAGGTTTTGCACCGAAAATGTCTCCTTTTACTGATGCCATGATTCTCCTGTCATCCTCTTTATTCTTGTCTCTGTCTCTCTCTCTCTCTGCATTTGATAATCTACTGGGAAAGGAACGTTCGGTGCTTAACATGTTATTATTCCTAAAGTCATGTTCAAAGGTCAGGAAATGAAGCACGAGGATTCTTTACTCATGCTTGGAAGAATGTGTGCCTAATGCATTGCATTAAGTAGTGCTCTACCATTCCCCACTGATGACATCAGGGTTTTAAAATATGGTTTTGATTGTGTGATGCTTTTCAAATTTGTGAAATATTGCAGGTATAAATATGGCACGTTATGCACTACACTTCATAAAACTATTGTGCACCATAACATATAGCATTCATGTAACTGATGATGGGATCTGTCTTAGGAACTTCAAAACTTATTTGATTCCTATGCTGTAGGTCTCATTAGTTACCTGTGATCCGTTTTGCAGTTATATTATATTGTATACTGCAAGTAGGAATCTGCACAAGAAAGTAACTGCTCTGTTTCTCTCTCTGACTAGACTTTTTCACTCTGATAAAGGGAAAACAAGGAAAGTTGGTGATTGGGAAAGTTGATTAAATGGCAAAAGTTTGTTGGCCATATTTTGATCCGGAGTATGAGAACTTCAGCAACAGAATCAACCCTCCAAGGTTCACTGTTTTATCTTCCCTTGAATTACAGCTTTGGCTTTTTTTTCTTTTCTTTTTCTTAGCAATGATCTGCAAATTGTGTAGATTCTCTCAGCATTTTTTTCTAGCTTAATTGGTTTAATGTAGTCACAAAGGTAAAAGGAAAAGAACAGCAGAACAATAAGGTTAAAAGCTTGGGCAATTCTTAGCTTAATTAGTGTTTGTCATCAATTTAATCCCCGCTAGAGTCCAAGATTAACTCCCTGTGAAATTGGGGTTTGTGAAGGGAATTTCTAATACCCGGAAGAAGTGACTCTTTGATGGTAACTTTGTTTCCACTTCGCAGGGTCTCTGTGGACAATGATAGTTGCCATGCTTGTACACTAATCAAGGTATAATTTCTCAAAATGACTAATTGTGATAATGATACGGTCTCTTTGTGTTGAGTCATGATTTGGCAGCTGAGCATCTTGGGAAACATACCTAAACCATATGGATTTTCCAGTTACTTTAACCCTAGAGCTTTGTTTTTCTCACACTACGTTGAATTTAGCCTTATTCTTATTCTTATATGCCAAATGAGACTTTATTGTACCTTAGTCAATTCTCTGACGTAAGTAAAAAACTTTCACCAAATTTCATTTGAGCAGAAAATAATTCAAATTTTAGCCCCAAGTGACCACTTTCTTCATTGCCGTTGATTAGAAACATTCTCCCAGTTTCTTCCTTGTTCTAATTTGAATAAATGAACACAAAAGATAGTTGAAAACTGAATTGAAAAGCATATTGAACAGACAGAATTTCTGTTAAGATCCCATTAAGTCGATTGCTAAAATATTAAGTTACCAAAACCATTTAGATCCACAAGTGGCTATCATCATCAGATCATATTTTTTCCGTAGTTCAAGAATGAATCATTAATATAGAGATAAGTTGATTCTATATCTAACGGAATTTTAATTTTTCAAAAAATAAACGCAGTTTGATAGTATTAACAAACCTGGAATTCTGCTGGAAGTGGTGCAAATCCTGACAGACCTTGACTTCATAATTACCAAAGCTTACATATCTTCTGACGGTGGTTGGTTTATGGATGGTATGTTCGTGATTGAAAACTTGAATCGGTAATGCATTGACTACAAAAAATTGTCCTGTCCATGATTGTTGTTAGCCTAATTAAGAGCTGGTTACTATTGAGAAACACTGGTTGCTATCAAGATGCTCTTCATTACTTTCAGTTTTCTCTTGACCATGTATGTCCATTATGTATTTATTTTTCTATGCATATTTGAGCCAAAAAGAGGGATAATCCACTGTTTGGTAGATTAAGTTCTTGTATGGCAAACAAGACATTGGTGTTCTTATGAACATATTCGATTAAGCATATCTTGTAAATAAAGATGAATTCATAGCTAAACACTGACATGTTTGAACAAATTGAATAAGCAGTATTTCATGTCACCGATCAGCAAGGCAAGAAGATAACAGACAGCAAAACAATAGACTTCATTGAAAAGGTATTCATCTTTCTTGTCTACATATGATATATTATTATAGTTAAATATAATGTGATAGTATGTATTAGTAACAAAACAATCATGGAAAAAAATTTAGATAGTTAAATGGAGATTGAGTGCACAATAAGTTTTATGTCTTAGAAAAAGAAACACACATCATTACCAATCATGAATTTGTTCGTTTAAACAGAAAGTCAATTGTAGTATAAACAAAATAATTGGTTCACGCCATATTCAAAACCAGATAGGATTTGTATCCTTTCTCATTTTTGAATCTCCAATTCACTTGCGAACTCTCCTAGAAACTTCCACAGTCTAGAAAATACATTAGTGATTTTGCTAAAAAAACAGGTTCATTGTAGTAGCTAGATACCCTCCATTTACCTATGTAATATAACAGAATTGCTTCCTCACAGTGACATAAATATTTAAACACACATCAAATACTGAGTACTATTTGGGAACATTACAACAGGCTCTAGGACCAAAGGGCCAGAGCACAGAAGGAGTGAAGAGTTGGCAAGGCAAAAGGGTTGGAGTTCACTCAATTGGTGATCATAAAGCCATTGAAATCATTGGAAGGGACCGCCCGGGTCTCTTGTCTGAGATATCAGCAGTCCTTGCCAGCCTCCAATTCAATGTGATTGCTGCTGAAGTTTGGACTCATAACATGAGAATAGCTTGTGTCCTTTATGTCAATGATGCTACAAACCAAGCCATGGATGAATCAAAAAGATTGTCTATTATGGAGGAGCAGCTCAACCACATCCTACGCGTGTGTGAGGATGACGAGAAAGTGGCTAGGACCAGTTTCTCAATGGGTTTGACCCACATGGATCGCAGGCTCCACCAAATGCTATTTGCTGACAGGGACTACGAAAGTGCTGGAGTAACAACAACAGATTGTCCTCCTTCTTTTAGGCCAAAAATCAGAATAGAACGTATTGTGGAAAAAGGGTACTCAGTAGTTACTGTAAGATGCAAAGATCGAGCAAAATTGATGTTTGACATTGTTTGCACTCTCACCGACATGCAGTATGTAGTTTTCCATGCTACAATCTCATCAGAAGGGCAATATGCATCACAGGTACACATTATTTATAAAAAATAATCCATTCTGTACTTCAATTTACCATCATACATAATTACTGTGATCATTTAACTTTTGGTTTGCTCAATTGATTTTAACCCAAATCTTGAGGATGCAACTGTAAAATAGTTCATCACAAACTACAAAGTTGAAATGATTCATACGGGGATTTACTCGGGAAAAGAATTGAACTGCTGTAGGATCTTTTACAGAGTTATGTAATTGAATGTTGTAGTATAAAAATGAACAAATCTACTTACGTGAAAATTTGTAATTGAAAAACAGTGAAAACTCATTTGCAGTGTTAGTAGATAAACTATTCTTCAAAAAAATAGATGTAGAAAGACCAAGTTGAAAAATGTGGACTAAGTGTTTGATGTGCATTGTTAGGAGTACTTTATCCGGCACATGGATGGATGCACGCTTGATACCGAAGGAGAGAAAGAAAGGGTCGTCAAATGCATTGAAGCTGCTATTCAAAGAAGAGTTAGCGAGGTAATGTGCAGTTTACATTTGATTGATGCATGTTTTTTTAACCCATACCAAAAAACGAAGGCGGGGATGAACTTCTGCATCTCAACTTAGTAAGTTCTTCATGCAACTTGATTTCATAAGATGGTGTTGCAATAATCATTATGCTATGTCGTAACTACTGAATTAATTTTCTCTTGACCCCTTTTCTTCTGAAGTCAGCGATCTACTATATTCTTTTCTGCTCATTTCTTTCTTTCCCTCTTTCTTTCTCTTCATCAGAAACTCTTCTGAGTTTAACCCAATTAATACATTTTGAACCTGCAGCTATCTACTTGTATTGTTGCGAATGGTACGGCAGATATATGGGGCTAAGTTCCACTCAGATTGTATGTGACCATCATATCCACCTAATGAATCGGTGACAGTGATGGTCTTTTGTCTTCAATAGAGCATTAGAGCTTAAGAACCTATAATCTCCACGTAATATCATCTCATCCACATCACTATCACCTAAAAATTACAAGTTAAAAACATTAAGGCAAAGTTTGTCCTTTGGTTTTATCATATGCAAATTGAGTTAATGTGAAGGATGCTTGTCATACTCTGGAACAACATACAATTAATTACGTGATAAATGTCACACTATCCTATTTGACAATTTATGCATAGAATACAATTAATTATCATCATCATGATCATAATAGTGTTGTTAGCATTGATCCTGTGGATGGTGGACACAGGGTGTGAGCCTTGAACTGTGTGCAAAGGACAGAGTGGGGTTGCTGTCAGAAGTGACAAGGATTCTACGAGAGAATGGCTTAACAGTTAGTAGGGCAGGTGTGTCAACCATTGGGGAGAAAGGGCTAAATGTGTTCTACGTGAGAGATTCATCTGGGAACCCAGTGGACATGAAGATCATCGAAGCATTACGCAAGGAAATTGGACAGACAGTGATGGTCAATGTGAAAAGGGTACCTGGCAGTGCCAAAGCACCAGCTGAAACCCGAGGTTGGGCCAAAACAAGCTTCTTCTTTGGAAACTTGTTCGAAAGGTTCTTGACTTCATAATCAGATAATCAGAGTTCAAATTCATGCATTGGTATACTTGCCTGCTTATAAAAGACACATCAAAATGTGTATATATTTAAGAATAAAATCAAAGGTTGTTCAGTGTCTCACTTGGGTAGGGCTTGAACTTGTCCCTTTTGTTTTAAACCAATGCTTATAAGATGTAACTTATACTCAGTCTTTCCTTTGGCATATCTGTCTCTCAATGTTATCCTATTTTTCACTCATCTACTTTCTTTATATTAACTTTTGTTTTACATAATGATGCTATGATGCATACAAATTTTTTAAGTTAATTTAATATTATTTTTTTATTTCTTTATAAATATAAAAATTATCTTTTTTATGTTTTTTATTTTCTTTTAAATATACAAATTGATTTTTTTTATAATTATTATATATTCTATTATTATTCTATGTTTCATGACTTAAAACAACAAAAAGCCTCAAGGTCACTGTATCATTTTTCATATTCAAAGTCTAAGTAATTTTACGAAGGACATAACTAAGTTATATAAATAATTTTAGATGTAAATATATTTTTAGTTTTTAAATAATTTAAGAATTAAATATATTTTTAATTTTTAAATTTAGAGGTAAAATTAAAATTAAAATTTATTTTTATTCTTAATTTATACGTATTTTAGTTTCGACATATGTTAAAATATAAAATAATAATTAAGTTAAAAAAATTATATTTACTTCCTTTTATCAATAAATATTAATTATTAATATTTTTATTATTGTAAGAAGTTGAATTTACTATAAAAAAATTAAAAATAAAGTTTTAAATTAGGTAACTTCTTAATTCACACATGCCCACTACCATGGTCATTTATTAATTACTTATACACTTACAAATAGATCTAACAACAACTGTGTTAGGAACAACGGAAAAAACATATATTAAATGCTAAAACTCGAAACATGTAGACTTTTGTATAAAACAATTAATGATATTAATATTATCTGTATATCTAATTTATTTATCTATATATATAGATATATAATTAAGGAGGCTTTTTTTAAAACACTTCTAAATACAGTCTTTAATATAAGTAAAACTATTTTTCTTATTTTCTTCTATTTTATTGCCTTCTCTACAAGTGTCAACATCATCCATTTCTTACATTTTATCTTTAAAATCTTTAAATTATTTATTATTCATATTTCATTATTCTTTCTCTAACTCATAACTTCCATGTATCTTGAATTTTCTTAATATATATCAAATTTACACAAAACAACATAAAAATAAATAAATAAATATTGAAAAAACATTAAATTTAAAACTAATATGCAAATCAATATAAAATAATAAAAGTTAGTACACCAATTCAATTTTAACTCAATAAAAAAAACGTAATTAACTCAATAAACATATTAAATAACACAAAAAAGAAAACAAGAAAAGCGAAGCAAACTCACACACTTGATAAATGCGCCAACAATCCCCATTCCCAATCTCAGAGCTATGGCTACCTCATTCTTCCTTCAATTATCCGAACCGCTCATGATTTGCTTTACATTTTCAATTCTAATCAGCGGCGTTTTCGTCTGATCATGTAAAGTAGTAAATTTCGCGGCATTGTAATCTATTTTCTCGTTTATCTTTTCGTTTGCCTTCGTTTGCCTCACTCTAATAGAGAAATTTCGATCTGACAGCGTTTTCATGTTTTCCCAGGCTTTAAGATTTCTCCAGTTCGACAATATTAATATGGTTTTTAATAATAAGAACGTTATTGTTATTATTTTCAGTTAAATTAGCAAATTGAGTTTGTTTTTACAATTATAATTTTGACTTACAGGGTGGGTAATTTCCTTTGCATTCTTTTACTTTTTCAAATAGAAAATTTTATCGTCTGAATCGTAGATTGTGAGTGAAACCTCTGATCAGATAAAATTAGTATTGTGTATGGTGCAGTCCGAAGTTTTATTTTATGGTGCTTGGTTTTTAATGATTTTACTTTGGCTTAATCTTGTTGATGATATAATTTTTTGTTCGAATTTGCAGAAGATTTGAATTTAATTTGAGAATTGAGTTTGACTGGAGAGAGGGAGAGGGAAATGGCTAACAAGGCATCAGCCTGTGCTGAGAGGGCAACTAGTGACATGCTGATTGGGCCAGACTGGGCAATTAACATAGAGTTGTGTGATATCATTAATATGGACCCTAGGTATCTCTCTTGTTTTATTTTATTTCTTTAAGCCATTATTCTGCTCTATTATATATGCTTTATGCGGATTTTTTTTTTTTTTGAAATGAAGAAATGGACAGGAAACTAGTTGTTGACTGGCCTTGTTCTTTGTTAACAATGCTTGTGATTATATTTTATTAATATAGAACTACAAGAAAGTAAATCTTTTAGTGTTTGTTTAATAAAAAATATTTTCCACTCTGCTTTTACTGGTTATACTATGGTTTGGAGAATTGCATGGGAGTAGGAGGGGGTGGAAGATATTTTTCTTCGTTTGCTACAAATTTTTTTGTGTTGTTTAGAGAATTGAATTAGTCAAGCACTATGGTGCATGTTATTGGACAATACCACCTTTATTCTGCATCTGTATCTCGTGCACTGACCTCAATATCTGTTTTTTCTTAATTTTTATTTCTTATCCTTTATTTTGAAAGGGTTGAACTGTTTGTTAATGAAATAAACACCCCTTTTCTTTCGAATTTAGGGACCACCATGTTTTAAAGATTGCATCAAAATTAAAGATTGCATCGAGATTCCTTCTGTTCGTGCATGAACTGGCTGATTACATTTACCGAATAAGCAATGTTTGGCCTAGTGTGTGCTAGAATATTAATTTTCCCACCATTCTCTGGTACATCTTTTTGTCTACCACTGGTTCCTCTTCAGTTTTACGTAGCTTGTGATTAGGATCCATTGGAGTTGATGTGGGTCTGCACCCAATAGTTCTTGTCTCTGCCAGCAAATCAGTTATATATTTTTGTGGGGATATAAAGATTCCTTGGTTAGAATATGCTACTTCAATCCCTAGGAAATACTTCAATTTTCCAAGCTCTTTTAGATCAAATTATTGGAGTAGTCTTTGTTTCAGTTTCTCCTTCTCGTTTTCATCATTGCCAGTTACTATCATATCATCAACATGAACTAAAAATAATTGTTACCTCCCTTTTTCTGAATGTTTAGTAAAAAACATGTGATCTCCTTGGCTTTGTTTGAAGTCAAATCTCTTCATAGCTTTGGAGAACCTCACATGTTGAAAAGTGGACTTTAAGTCTAATTCAACTCGACAAAACCAGCTTGTAAAGTGAGGTTTGCACCTATTTATTTACTCTAAATTGGTTTTCTTTCTAGATGTGAGACTTCTAACACACTTCTCTCATGTTGAGGTATATACATATCATGTGTAGGACCAAAAATTAATGAGCAGCCCGATAGCGGGTGGAACAATATGCTCAACAAACAACAAATCTCGCTAGAATAGACAATGACTTTGATACCAATTGAATATAATAAAACTAGGTGTAGGATTAATCTCTCTTATTATGTCTAAAACACACCTAGAGCAATACATTTATAATGAAGAATGATACAAATATATATGACAACCTAACATAAATATGGAAATAGAAGATATTGTTAAAAATAATATCAACAATATCTACTAATATCAAACAATAGCAAAAGTCTACATTTCCCTAATTAACATAAAATGCAATATATTTAACACTCCTCCTCAAGCTGGTGCATATAAATCGTATGTATCAAACTTGTTACAATAATCAATTCTCGGTCCCCTTAAAGAGTTAGTGAAAATATCCGCTAACTGATAATTTGAGTTAACGAACTCAGTCTTGATGTCTTTAGATGCAATCTTTTCTCAAATGAAATGACAGTCAATCTCAATATGTTTAGTCCTTTAATGCAAGATAGCATTAGATTTGATATGAAGAGCTGCCTAATTGTCCCATATAAGTGTCATTTGAGTGACATCTTCAAATTGTAATTCTCTAAGCAACTGCTTAAGCCAAACAAGTGGCTGAGGCCATAATTCTATATTTTTCTTCTGCACTAGATCTTGCCACAAGACTTTGTTTCTTGCTCTTCCAAGAAATCAAGTTAACACCAATCGAGACGGTTAGGTTCCTAGATAGAGGAAACCTGGAAAAACCCATTGCATCCACCTATACTCACTGCGTAAAACTATTATTATTGATTTTGGGCATAAATACAATATAAGAGCAGCCAAGGGACAATGTTCCCTTCACACAGGATGCCAAAGATCCTGTCAACCCTTCTCCATACAAAGATCCCCCCCCCCCCAACTATATGTAGAAAGTCTCACCCAACCTAACAACCCAACTAACAATCAATTACTTCATATCCTAACATTACGTGCCGCTGCAGAAACAACCTTGTCCTTAAGGTTGAAGTCTAGAATGTGGTCCTTAAATGTTGCAAGAACTTCCCACATGGCTGCCTCAAGGATTCCTCTCTGCCCTTGGATTAATACTTGCTGTCAGACTTGATCTCCCATCAGCTCATTCACAAAATTAGGGAGATTCATCAACTTTGGTGGCCTTCTTCCTATTACGTCTACCAAACAGATTGGTAGGTAGAAGCAGTAAGAATCCTTACTTTTGCAGGATCGTCATGGTAGACCTGAAGATCAGTAAGAATCCTTAAATTTATCCCAACATCCATCAAAAGTTTCCACCTCCAAGTAACTTGTGGTTGAGAAGGATTTGCTAATGGGAATACTTTGTCATAGTCCTTAGCTCCAATTTTCATAAACTCTCTAACAAGCATGTCCACATGTGCAATAAAAAAAGACCTAAACTGATTTGAGCAACTCTTGTCCCTTTGATCAACATCCTGGACTCCCTCTTTGGTCAAACAACCTCCTTGAGCACCGTCTATGTAGGCTTTGCATGCCACCCGAATGTCTTGAGTTTGATTGCAGAATTGTCTAGCCACGAAGTCCTCAAAATTCTTTGGAGGTCTTCTCTTGATATACATCAGTGTCCTCAATGATAGGATAAATGTGTTCTCATTGTAATGCAAGGAATTAAAAGCATCCTCTTTCTAATCTATTAGATGGGCAATTCCATGGTCATTATAGTATGGCTTTGAATTCAAGATTAGACCCTATATAAAGACCTGAACCTGTAAAATTGTTGAGACACCTGGTTGCCACTTCTCAGTCTCATGGCTAGACCCGATGCTAGCTAAACTAAGGCAAACTTTTCCAAAACTATATAATTTTGGGTTGAGCCGAAGCCCACAAGAGTGGTAGTGGACTTCCATGGTTACAATGGGATAACTGTTTGGGAAGAAAACATCAACAAAGCAAAGGCCATCATGATAGGGTGTTCCCTCTGCTCCAATAATTACTGCCTTAAACAAATCTATTCTTGATTCATAAACTCTGACAAATATTGAATCCGACAAATCCTTCTCCCATGACTTCCACTCTTGCTGGATTCTTTTAGCACAATTCTATGAAACCCTCAAAATTTCATCTCTGATTTCATCGGCTCTTGTAGTAACAACACTTTCGACCGCTGCTCCATTATTCCATCTCTCACAAGATAATGAACCCAAGAATTATCAAACAATGGCTCCGAAGCAATGCTAAAAGGAACTAAGGGACCAACAAAACTTGATTTAACAATATAACTAAAGAGTGGTTGAAAACGAAAATCTTTCTTCAACCACATATCATTACTAAATCTAGTTCCAGGAAAATGAAATGAAGATCCCACAAAATTTGCTAATTAGTAGTGTTACTTCCATCTGCTGTCACACTCTCACATGTGTTACTGTTGCCAAACTCTCAAATAACATGCTTCTCCTGTCCCCTTCAACTATCCTTAGTTGAGTTGTTTATTGCCAGGTCTTGAACCCTTGGACTGCATTTTCTTCCTTGTTATTGACGGTTAGGTGTACTTTTGTTGATCCTTTGTTGTTATGAACTTCAAGAACATTTGTTGCCCTTGTTGTTTGACCTTGGGTGCCATTCCTTTCAAATGTGGACAACTCTCCTCCAACCCACGGGAACAGTGGTTCTTCCTCACCCTTCCTACTTCCATTATTGTCCATGGCATCCTCTTTTCTTTTCTTCTCCCTATTGATTGAATTTTGCCCTCCATATGAGAGTTTCTTTCTTGATGTCTTGCAGATTATCTTCCTCAGCATCCATACCCATCTTTACCTTCTTCATTCCTTTTCTTTCTCCACTAACCGAACTTTGACTACCTTCGGATCCCCTTTCATGGGTTCTTGACTTCCGCAACATATCTTTCATTTCTTGGAAGCTCTCCCTGAGTTCTTGCATAGTGTCTCTTATTTCAGTTATAGCTCTTCCCTGTTTGTTGGCCAATCTTTCCAAAGCACCGACTCTTCCTTCCATGCTTCCACACCTTCTTGATCTGGCAGGTCGGACCAATTTTTAGGTTCCTAGATAAAGAAAACATGGAAAAACCCACTGCAACCACCTATGCTCATTGTGTAAAACTATTATTATTGATTCTTGGCACAAATATAGTACGAGAGCAGCCAAGGGACAATGTTCCCTTCATACAGGATGCCAAAGATCCTATCAACCCTTCTCCAAACTATCAAAAACATCCGTCTGCATACAAAGACCCCCCAACTATATATAGAAAGTCTCACCTAACCTAACAACCCAACTAACAACTACTTCTCTATATGTTTCCTCCTAACATACACATTACATATCCTAACAGAGACAATACCCGGAGGTATATCTTCTATTAGAAGGAGATCTTGCCCAATCAATATCTGAATAACAGGCAACTTTTGTATGGTTATTAGAACCACATAACAAACCTTTTCCACAAGATCTTTTAATGTACTTTAATATACTGATGATTGCATTCCAATTATCTTCACATGGGGAATTGAGAAATTAGCTCACCACACTAATTACAAAGGGAATGTTAGGACGATTAACTATAAGGTAATTTAATTTCTCAACCAATATTCTATATTGCTTAGGATTTGAAATAGGCTTCCCCTAATTTGGTAGGAGTTTGGTATTAAGATCCATGGATGTTTCAACAAGTTTTGAATTCATCAACCTACTTTCTTCCAAAATATCCAATGCATACTTCTTTTGAGATATAACATTACCATCGTTAGATTGTGCTACCTCAATACCCAAGAAGTATGAGTTTGCCAACAATATGAGATGACTCAACCCAAATGACAAATTTAGAATGTTGCTCCATCTAAGGTTCTTCATCTAGATCACCATGTAGAAATACATTTATGATGTTAAGCTGAAACAGAGTCCAGTTTTGAATAATTATAAGTGGAATCAACTCCCAACAGTCTAGGTGAGATAAAGCTTCCCCTAAAGGCTTAGGTATAGGAATAGAAGATAACAAAAACAAACAAGTATCTAAAGTTTGGTGGAAAACGAATTATAAATAAGGCTTGTATAGTCTGGAGACGGGTTACAAGTAGATCATATTCCTTTTTGAATAACAATAGACCAATTATTTTCAAGGGACAACTAGATCGGGTGCTAAAGATGATGTCAGAAAGGATCAAACACGACCTTCAGTATAATATCTGTTGAATATGGATCCTGGACTGGAATTTCATTAGGAATAGGAGGACTCAAAGCGGAATAAAATTATTTTGAGTTTATTTCCTTTTTTAGATTATGATCTCAAGTATAAAATTGCTTCAACCCTTATTTTTATTTTTTCTTATGGGGATTCCATAGCATTTTCCTCATCTTTGTTGGTGAACTGATTGAATTTGCAGGCAAGCAAAGGATGCAATAAAGATACTTAAGAAGCGATTGAGCAGTAAAAATCCGAAAATACAACTTCTGGCTCTTTTTGTCAGTATTTTTCAAAATACAACTTTCCTTTTTCGTCAGTACTTTCTTTAACTACAAAATTATCAAGCATTTCATTCAATTTGATATGATGAATTAAGTTATATTCTATTTTACTAAAATTTTGCAAATGGTGTAAATTATGTAAAAGTCCTCAGACATTGTCTGCATGAAAGATATTATAATTAAATTGCCTCCAAATGGTGATAACATAAAAAACTATGATTACCTGACATGAATATTTTTGTATTCAAATATTTTATGTAGGCTCTGGAAACCCTTAGTAAAAATTGTGGTGACAGTGTGTTTCAGATCATTGAGCGGGATATCTTACATGACATGGTTAAAATAGTGAAGAAGAAGGTATTTTTGGACTTTTGATACCGAAGATTTCTTTTACTGTTATTCTTTAGAGAAAGTTTTAGGGTTAGGGCCACAGTCTCATCCTAGAGTCACAGTAATGCCTGGGTTCAATGAGCCTTGCAGGGGTTACTTACCTATAATGTACCCACAACCGACTTCAATGAGTTTTTGAACACTGATCAGCTTAGTTTACATCTTGACTTGGATGCGCCAAGTGCCAACTATATTTTGCATATTTCTTTTATAATTTACTATAATTTCTGAAACGGTTATGTTTGAAAGGGAAAATTCTCTCATCAAGTGTTGCGTTCTTTTAATTCTATTGTACAGCCGGACTTAAGTGTGAGGGAAAAGATATTGACTTTGATTGATACATGGCAAGAAGCTTTTGGTGGACCAAATGGAAGGTATCCCCAATACCATGCAACATATAATGAATTAAAGGTGATTGCTCTTGTAAATTTCGACATTTCAAGTGTTATTCTACTTTTTCCAAGTGACATTACTATTATAAACTGATATATATTGACATTTTTAATTTTCTATTGATACACACTCCTATTGTTATAAATGATAATGTTTTATTTGGACTATTAATTTTTTACACCTGTCTGGAACATGCTTTTGAGATTTGTCAATCATTCAACAACTTTCTCTGTATCTCTCTATCACATGTGTCAGTTGGTTTTCCAAATGTCATCAGTCACGCTCTTCCAAGAATATTTTTACTAAGTTGTTGTATTGTTGAAATTTCTTCATAAAACATTGATATTTTATTTCTTCTATGTACTTCTTCTTAAATAACTGGCAGTCTGCTGGTGTTGAATTTCCCCCACGAGAAGAAAATAGTGTTCCTTTCTTCACGCCTCCCCAAAGCCAGTCAGGTTCTCATATTGCTGCTGCAGAATATGACGCTGCTGCTATTCAGGCTTCTATTCAGTCTGATGCATCTGGCCTTAGGTACTCTTTAACTGCATCTTTTTTTACTGTTGTAGAACTTTTTTTTTCATGGCTTATAATTTTAGTCATTGCACATCGTGTATGAGATTTAGGAAGTTTGTTTCTCCACCCTTATAAACCCAATGTTATTCTAAAGGTTTTAGCATATCGAGAAAATGGCTCACAATATTATATCTTAGAATTAGAAAATTAAATACTCTACCATATTTTTGGAGGTTCACTTTGAGTTGTTCCCATATTTTCTTATATTTCATGATTTATTTTAATATTTAATTGGGATTAACAATGTAGTATTACTGTACTATAAATTGAGGTTAGTTCTTTGTATTTTGTATCACATCATAACATATCATTAACAGAATATTTTCAATGTCATTTTACCTTCTTTCGCTCCTTTCCTGCTGTTTTTACTTTTTGTACCCTTAAGTTCTGGATTATGGTCATGGTTTTAAAATTAAAAAAAAAAAAACGAAATTTCTCATAACTCTGAACAAAACTACTTTTGGATCATTTCTGCCTGATAATGAAATTTTCACCATTATGAAATTCTTCCATTGGCAACTTCTGCCCATTTCTCACAAGTGACCTTTGGAGGAAATTATTTTATTTTATTTTATAAAAATGTAGACTACCATCTAACTGCATGAATGTTCACTTTCTTAAGTTGTATTGGTGTTTATCCCCTGAACTTTCTTGTTATCAGTTTGCCAGAGATTCAGAATGCTCAAGGACTAGCAGATGTATTGAGTGAAATGCTTAGTGCCTTGGATCCTAAAAGTCCTGAGGTCGTGTAACGTTTTATGTTGTTGTCCTTTGTCTACTATCTGATTAGCTACATTATCTCTATTCAGTTATGATTGTTTATAAAAAACATATTTTTAAATTTTGAAGTTGTTATTTAAGGTTGTTTGTCAAAACTAACTAAAAGGTGACTAGTAACTGATAAGTTGGCTACTAGCTGATAAACTTCTTACTAATAAATAAGTTCATAAACTAGCTGCTTGGATTAAAAGTGTTTTGTAAAATTACTGATAAACTAATTGGTAATGTAAAATGATATGTAGAAGGGTATAATTACATAAGTTATATTATATAAGGGATGTTTCTGTTTTCTGAAAAAAATGTATTACGTAATTGTAATTTAATTTTTTTATATAATTAATTCTTATTAAACTTTTTTAGTACTTCTATTCATTTTTTAAATAATTTGTTGTGGATATGTTTTTTTCATTTAGACAAGTCATCTTATTTAAATGACTTCTCGAAATATAGTGAATATTTATGAAATTTAATTTTTATTTATTTTCAAAAATATAATCTTTTTATTTCTCAATTTAGCTTATTGTCTAGTAAAAAGCTATCATAACAAGTAATCAACATTAATTTCTTTCTTAAAATTCGTGACAAAATATGCAGGTTGTCAAGCAGGAGGTGATTGTTGACCTTGTTGACCAATGTCGTTCTTACCAAAAGCTTGTCATGCTTCTTGTGAATGAGACTATGTAAGAATATTGATTAAGATGACAAATTCCATTTTTGTTACTGTAATTAACAAGATGTAACAAGAATGACTGTAATGTTTGATTCTTTTCAGGGATGAGCAACTTTTATGTCAGGGGTTGGCATTGAATGACAGTCTTCAGCGAGTGCTTAGTCAACATGACAATATTGTAAAAGCAACTCCTGTTACAGTCACAAGAGGAGTAGAAACACCAGTTCTGCCACCTGTAAATGTAAAGAATGAAGAGGAAGAAGAGTCAGACGATGATTTTGCCCAACTAGCCCATAGGTTAAATTGCAGTATTATATTGAACTCGTTGCAAGTTAGTTTCTCGTAGTGGATTATGTCTGTTATATGAGAGCATGTTGGTTACATCTCTAAAGCATGACTCATTTTACAGTTGATACACTGGTTGATAGATATTTCTTCTTCATTTAGTAAGTAATTAGGAGTTTATATTACCTTGAGTGCAGGTCATCACGTGGTATCAATGCACAGAGACAGAAACAAGTCAATAACAATGTACAACCAGTGAGAGTAAACCCAATTCTTCCCCCACCACCGCCACCAAAGCAGCCAGTGTACTCTAATACTGGTATGATTGATTTTCTCAGTGGGGATGTGTACAAAATAGAAGGATCCCATGAACTTTCTGAACCAACTTCACATGTCGAGCCCCTTCATTCTAGTTCCAATAATCCTGCCTCAGCCACTAGAACACTGTCTTCCTCTCCGCCTTCCTCTCCGCCTTGTTCCTCAAGTACCTCATCACCAGTTTTAAGCAAGCAGCCCGTGTTTGATGAAGTATCTGTCATCAATAAATCCTTGGAAATCCTTACACCAACTCCTCGGGAAACACAATCTTCTGGCTCCATTCCACAACCCCCTTCAATGTTTTATCCGAGACAACAGTTTTCTGAGCAACAAGGTGTGTCTCCTTTGAGTTTTGGTTCCAGTTCCTCAAATGACAACTTGTTGGAACAAACCCAGAATCTATCTATGTATTCGTCTACTCCAACCAAACAAGAGAAGCCAGAAGGTGTCCTTTTTAAAGATCTACTGGACTTTGCAAAATCCAAAACCTCTTCTAAACCCAGTAGTAGGCCATTTTGAGAGTTTTTGTTTGTATTTGCATTGGTTCAACTTATGAATGCTACGAATCAGGTTTTGCTTCTGATCACTCTAATGACCCATTTTAGCGGTCTTCAGTTATTTGGGTATGATTTTCCCATTCATGTAGCCTCTGTAATCAGTTCATTGTTAGCATATATTCTTGAATACTGCTCATATTGATTGTTAGCTCATGTTTTCAATTCATTCAAATTTTCTTTTGGTTAAACAATGTTAAACTTGTCCGGAAAGGCTAAGCACCATATTTGATCAAGTCTATAAATAATTGAGGGATGGGATCGAAATAGTAAGTTACATTATTCTGAAGTTAGGGTATTCCAGAGGTGTTAATGATGATTTAAACTTCTTAATACATGGGTTAAAAATTTAATCATATTGTTGTTAACCACCAAAGTTATCGAGGTTAAACAGATTTCAAACTTGATTTTATTCAAACTAACATGACAAATGCGTCCTTTGTAATTTACTTAAAATTAATTCTACAAGACCTAAGACAACGCCAGCAATTTTAAAATCTTCATGACGTGTCACTTGAAAGGTCAATCAAGTGCAATATAAGAATTTTCGTAAGTACAAGTAAATTCATAATAGACTAATTACGATGAAAGTTTTACTAAATGGTTAAAAACTATACTTTAGCCATGATATCAAAGTTTTTGTGCCCTAATAGACTCGAAATTGTTTTTTATAAGCTACAGTTGTTTATAATTTTCTCAATATCAACAAATACTACGAAATTGACAGTTGTGAACAAATTAAAACTTTAAATAAAACTATTGACCACTTACAAGTTATGAATAGACTTTCAATTTGATTATTATACTATAGTTTCCTTAATTTATTGAAGTTTATAAGATTTTGGATATGGTATAGTGGTTAAGACTATTTGTATGTGACTCTCTTAATTATGAGAGAACAATTGACTTTTAATTTGATTAATTATTTATTAATTTATTGAAGTTTATAAGATTTTGGATATAATATAGTGGTTAAGACTAATTTATGACCCTCTTAACTATGAGAGAATATTTGTTTTCAAAAACAATATATCTTCTATCGAGTATGTCTTCTTTGGATAGGGTACAATAGTTAAGACTAACTTGTGACCCTCTTAACTATGTATTCTTCTTTTTCTTTGTGACACTCTTAACTACCCTCTTAACTATGAGAGAATAATTGTTTTAAAAAACAGTACATCTTGTATTGAGTATGTCTTCTTTGGATAGGATATAGTGGTTAAGACTAACTTGTGACCCTTTTAACTATTTATATTCTTCTTCTTTATGACCTTCTTAACTATGTCTTTTTCTTCTACGTATCAAAGAGGGGAAAGAGTAATTTCTTTACAAATAACAAGTCTTTTTATCATTTAAAACCACCATCTTGTATTTGTCTTCATTATTCAAACAAGTAAAAGAATAACAAAAATAACCAAAGTATCTAGCTAAAATAAATTATCCTGAACTTGAAAGAAGAGCAACAACACTAAAGAAATAATAATCACATAAACAAGACACCAATTGTTTTATTGTGAGAAAACCCTCTCAATGTGAGAAGTAAAATCCATAGGTACAAGTCAATTAATCAAGCTTCGTTAAGATGAAATATCAATGTAATCAACCACCCAATTGTCTACAACCAATCAATACATCAAAGCATATCTTCAACTATAGACTTCTAATTAAGGATCTAAATGATCAAAATGAAAGAACCATACATTGGGAACCTAATGTTAAAATTTCAGTCCCATTCAACTGTGAACTTGTTAGAATTGTAATAATACTAAGACACTTTAATGAATATGCGAATTATTTCTCTTGTTTTACTCTTCTAAAATGTACAAAATTTACATTCTCTCTTGGCCTAAAAGATCATTATCTACTTAGATTAAGTGAGACAATGAATTTAACTAATTTAGACTTTTTAAACACATAATTAAAAATCCAACTAAACAACCTAATTCAAAGTGATACTTAACATCACTTGTACACCAACTTTCACTTTCTCGTGACACTAAGGTCATTGTAAAATCAAAAGGTTTCCATGTTCTTACTATAGCTATTGGATACATTTTCATGTTGGTTCAGGTTATCTACCATCTTGCAATACATGTTCAACATTTTTCTTATGTTTCTGTCACTGAATTTAGAGTTTTCATGTGTCAGAAAACTTAGATTTGCATTCTTTGTTTTGATGATGTGTTGGATTTTCACTTTTCTTTGCTTTTGTGGTCTGTAATGTTGTGCACAAAAATACCTATACTGATTGAGGCCAATGTGTCTGTAAGTGGATATGGAAAACATGATAGGAAGGTAGAATGTATCTTCCTTGTGAGGATGTAGTGTTGATGTTGTCGTGAGACAGCTATATATGTCACAAAGATTCAAACAGAAGAAAACATTTTAAACACTAATTTTTTTCTATTATTAACGTAAAAATATTAATTTATTTCACTTTATCTTATAATAAAAGTCATTAATTATATAACATTTTATAATACTATTGTAAAAGTTTTGAGTTTGTTTATATTTCTTACTTAATAGGACATATTTCTTCACTGTTGTTGCATAATTAACTATCTACATATTCGAAATTATTCTCCACAACTCCTTTTTGATTTAGAAATTTTCAAAAACTCTTTTCTCAATTTTTCGCAATATGATTTGAAACCAAACTTCAATTTAATAAAACTTTGCTAATAAAGGAGATTGTTATTGATCTCATTCTCTTTGAAGAAAACTCAATTTAAAATGTGTGATCATATTATGTCCAAATCCATTGCTAAGACAGGTCTGTTAAGTGAGGGAGACAAAGAAACAGTTTGAGAAAGAAAGTGAACCTTCCAACTGCGCAAGTAATTATTAGTGTGGCTTTAACCCGACAATCTTTCAATCATAGTTTTCTATGCAATAAAGTTTCCAACAAACAAAATTGTTACATTTTGCATGATAACATTGCAAGGTTTAAAAAATAATTAATACTTGAATAACATTCAAACTATTGTTATTGTTTCTATCAAATTTAACAATCATTTATAAGCTCATGTTTTCACTCCCAAGTTTTTCAAAAGATCAGAGGGATACCTATCTGAAATCTTAAAGAATATCCACTTTTTCACTGACACCATGGGTGGCTCAGTATCTTCATATAGTTAATACACTCCTTTGTTGGGTAAACAACATACAAAATATAAAGATGTTTTTCATTTGGGTGGACTCAATCAAATGCTTCTTTTTCTGAGACTTTTAGCTTTTTAGCTATATGAAGCTGCCGAAGAAAGATCCTCATGTTTGCATGATTGAATTTTGTGAATAATAATACTAGACACACACTTTGGCCTATAATTAGAAAATGCTTCGATGATGAAACTTTAATTAGTGACAAAAATGTGTTTTTAAAGTTACCACCATCAACGCATCATTGTTCATTATTGTATCCATAAATATTTAATGTCCTAAGAAATTTTCAAGCTCACAAATGCCGTTTTGGTTTCATAAACCCTCCATAATTCTTATCAATAAACACAAAATAAGGTGTAAAATAAATTTCCAGAAGCATATATGATTATCTATGAAGGGAAAACAAATCTTTATATATATCCATTATAAATGTTCTTTAGCATAAAGTAAAATTTTTAATATACCTTTTGCATATTGATTAGATATGTATGAATAATTTGATAGTAATTAGATATTTATGAGTAATTTGATACTAATTTGACAATGGATGAAAAAAATCTACTAAACAATAAATATTATTATAATACTTCTTCAAAAATAAATTTTAAGTTTAATTTTTAATTTTATAAAATATGTTTGTAAAAGTTTTACGTTAATTTGAAATGAATTTTAAGTTTAATTTTTAATTTTATAAAACCAATTTGTAAAAATTTACGTGAATTTATATATAGTTTAAATTCATCTGATCAGTCAGTGACATAGGATTTCAATCGGATTGCAAGTAAAGGAAAAGTTAGGGAGAAAGCCTTCCAAACATGCAACAATTGCTAGTTTATACAGCTTCGCCTTAGGTGACACTGCTAATTATACAATTAGAAAAAGTCTGACAATAACAAAGATATATAGGTAACAAAAGCATAATGATAATTAAATATTAATATCCAACTCGTAAAGAGGATTGAATATTTTACCATTTTTCATATTCCACACACATGCGCAGTAGGATTCTATTATTGTATAGGACAATGAGATCAACAACATGGGCTACTTAACAACTTTGGATTATCAAAAACCTACCTTGTCTGCCATTTACACACCCTTTCCCAAACAAACAAGTTGGCTGGCTCCCTACATTACTGAACATGTCTGCTACCACAACCTCTCTAAAGCTGCTACCTTCATAGCCAAAGGGGAGGGCTCATTGCATTGCTCACTCAGACTGACACTACACACACAATCATGAAAGCTTCTTGGAAGCACCAGTGCTTGCTTTTCACTCTTCTTGCCATTGTTCTTCTCTCAGAAGGATCAAGATTACCTAAAGAATACTGGGAACAGATGTTGCCAAAGAAGCTGCCTTCTCCTTCTTCTTCTCCCTCCAAAGGCACAAATTCTGTCACCCCTTCTTCTTCCTCCACCATGGAAAATCATGGTCTTCCTACATCTGATGGAAATGTCTAATAATTATAGTTAGCTATCTCTCTCTAACTCTACATTTCAGTGCTGAGGAGTTGAAGAAAGCATCGTTGTTTGCCACATCTGTTTTCAGGATTCATCTCTCCTGCTGCTTACAAAACAATATCACACACTTTTGGATTCCTTGATCTTGGTCCCATGTAAAGGTGTTGGATTAATTTATCAGTAACAACTCTTCCTTGGACAGGAAAAATTTATCAGTAACAATTCCTCTTACAGAATCTATTGGGAAACATTATAGGCACATAGCTGTATTTCTTTCATCTAACATCCTTGATGATCATCTGTTAGTTATGTTTTCTTCAATAATATTTCTGTAAATCTTAATTTTTGCCGTAGCACAGTGTCTCTTGATTTACTTGGTAGATAGAAATTACTAGATGTAATTCTTGTAGAGCAATATATTGCCTTGAATTCATAAATACCATATGCTTGCGTTATTTGGTTTCTGATAACTTTAGAGAGGGAAAGTTAGAGTAACTTTTAATCAATGAGGGCGTTCGATTATTTATTTTGACACGTTAAAA